TCATCTTCTCCATAAGTACGATACACTACGAGCAATATCGCATATATGGCATACGTAATCAAAAGAAACCGCAATTGACACTCGAACGTCTAGATAAATCGCTTGCTCTCGCACCAGTAATAGCAATTCCAGCATCAATTGCCTTCGGGTGGGTTCCTACAGTTGTTTTGTAGTTGGAGGATATTAGTATCGACTAACTGTTCCGAACAGGATCGGCTCGGTATACGCAATGGCCGCGGGTGGAGTTTACGTGTGAGGAAGACATGCCGCTGACGTATCTCACTTTCCAATGACGATATAACCAGAGATAATTATCAACCTCTTTATTTGTATACTACAATGGAATATTTGCTATTAATGACGGAGGCGACATTAGCGAATTGAGCGACTGGGAAGCATTCCAATTTCTATGGACATATATTATCACGTGACGATTAACGCTGTGGTGTATTCAAAAAGCAGCGCTGTGTTATGTAGGCGATAAAAGTCCGATCTTTGGTTAAGGATTGTATCGATTGGGATGAATTAAACTATTCTAATTAACTGAATGAGCACAGACTGACCAAGTTCGCTTTTGAAACTAAACTTCTAGTTATGCAGAAGAGGGCAAGTATAATAGTATTAAATCACATTTCTTTTACGAGCAGGTGAACATTCATTACTAGTGAATTCGAAAACGACAGTAGCCTTTATAACGAAACATAAACTCTAAACTCAGTTGCTTGCTTGCTCTATCTCCTGGTATATTATCATCAAACGCCAGAAAACTTCCCAACTAAAAACGTAAGACTATTCATAAATTTCATCACAGATCATCAGACATCAACGCACCTCAGTCATCAATTACTTCCAGCTCATCTTCATCATCATATATCTCTTCTTCCTCTTCTTCTTCTCCTTCTTCAGTATCATCGACTGTGATTATCTCGTGCTGAGAAGGTCCTTCGAGACCCCCGTCTTTCTCATGCCAGTCGCCTCTATCCGCCAATATTCCCCGACGTGATCTGTAAAACTAACATAAAAGTTAGTATCATCATTCATAACACCATGTAACAAAACGACGCGAACTTGAAAGTAAAATACCTACCTTCTCTAGTGCTGTCGCTCTTTTCTCTGGTTTCCAACCTTCGACCTCAAGCGCGAACTTCCCATTCTCGCCGTAGTCATAGCCAAATGCCTTTCTCAACGAGTTAAACTGCCTTACTCTCACTTTATGTGGTACGTCGCCATACTTAAACCGGTTATCGTTCTTCATGTCATTTTGGAAAGCAGTCATAACCCGCATTGTGGGATCCTCGTTAACTTCCACGGCTTTGCGGCTAATGTTCTCTTCAAGTTTAGAAGTTCCAATGACTTCAGTGTTTTCATGCGTATATTCTACGCCAGCATCAGCGAGGATGGCTTGGATCGGGTCAAGCTTTGTCGTACGAGGCCGAGGCGCGGCGGTGGGATCATCTTGACTGTTAACCATAGCTTGTATCTGGCTAATGATATCGTCCGCCGCGTCTTCTTCTTCAAAATTTACCTTTTCGTCTGCTGCAGGGTCGGGTATGTTCAGGATCGCAATGCCAGTTTTTGACTCCGCTACATTTGTTTTGTTAACGATTTCTTGAAGGACAACGTTTTCTTGGTGAAAGGTGAAAAGGTTCTTGAGACCAAAGAGCTCGCCTCGCCGATTGGAGTCCTTCATCACTCCGGTGAAATAACGTCGTTCAAAGGAGGCTTCGTAGCCAATGTTTGCCTGCTGTTGTTTGTATATTTGGCGAGCGTAGACCATTTCTTCGATCGTGCCGGCGCAGACGAGACGGAACACCTCCACGTCCCGACGTTGGCCGATACGGTAGGCACGGTCTTGTGCCTGCAGATCATGAGATGGGTTCCATGAGGGATCGAAAACCACAACCTTGTTGGCAGATACAATGTTGAGTCCCACACCGCCCGCCCTCGTTGAAATTAGAAATGCAAAGTAGCTCGCATCGGTGTTGAAGTCCTCAACGGCTTTTGTTCTATCTTCCAGAGACATCTCCCCGTCTAGGTAGCAGATGTTGTAATGAGTATTGTTCAAGAGCATGTATAGCATCTTGAGCAACTTTTTGCTCTCAGAGAAAATAAGGACCTTGGAGTTATCATCATTCTCTTTCCAAAATGCAAGCAACCTTTGTAGGACTTGCCATTTACCACAAAACTCGGGGTCCATGATGTTTTCGAACGGCTGGCGGCGGTAGTATTTCTCCCAGGTGTCGGGTAATCCGATTTGAAGCTTCTCAACATCCTTTGCTTGCTTTTCTAAAGTTTCGCCATCTCGAGGGATCCAGTTTGCAAGATGATTACATAGTAATTTGATGTTTGTGATGCACGGAAATACAGCTTGTGAGACTGTTGTACCATCCTCAAGTCTTTTGTAACAGCATCTCCCCCTTGTTTTCTTTGAACCGCAGTCGCAGGGGTCTGTAGAGTATTTGACTAGCTCAACCACATCACTTTGGAGATAGTTCTCGTAAGCCTCTTGTTGCAATGCACCAAGTTTGCAAAATACCACTCTATCTGTCTTCTTTGGAAGTTGATGGGCTATGAGCGATTTCATACGCCGAAGAAACATTCGCGGGAGTAAATTTTTGACTAGATCATTTGCTGTGCTTCTTGCCCTGGCTAGCTCTGCATTGGTAGCACCGTGGGCTTGTCCAATCTTCAATGGATCTTCGATATCATTTTTCCAGTCACTGTAACTGCCGAGTTCACCAGGCCGTATCCAGTTTAACAGGTTCCAAAGTTCCTAGATCCATAATAACCAAATTAAGCTCTTTGTACGAAGCCTTCTGTGTGGGGAATACATACACCGTAGTGGTTCATTATTGCTGTCCCTGTTAGACCGATTCTACAAAGACTGTTGATAACGTTCATAGCCTCTGTGATCCCAGATCTCCGTTCTTTGACCTTTTGACATTCATCCGCGATCACAGCATCCCATTCAATCAAATTGATCTTTGCTTGGTCCCTCCCTAATCGTTATATTAGTTATATTCTTTTCTTCGGCCTGGCCTTATATCGTGAATGCATACTATACGTATCGTAGGTTGTAATCATGATCTCCAAATATCCCGTCTGCGCTGCCGTCAAGGCATCTTCCTTCGCCCTCTTCGATCCATGGTAAGGGTACACTTGCCACCAGCCCCAAGTATCCAGCTCTCTCTCCCAGTTCGATATAAGCGTGCCAGGACACACTATCAGCACCTTCGGGTACCATTCGTCTGGCCTTTCCGATCTCATTTTTCGCATCCTCTTCGCATCTCTCGCATCACCAGTTTTACCAAACGCAGCAGTGAGGAAAGCGATCACCTGAACTGTTTTACCCAGACCCATATCGTCTCCCAAGATGACACCGGTGTTCAGAATAAACGCATTATGCATGAACCTCACACCTTCGATTTGATAATCTCTTAGCCATTGAGAGATCGAGGCGGGTATGACACCCCTCGATCGTTCTAGAATGATATCTTTATAGTCTCTGCATGGCGATGCGCCGGGAAACTGAGGCTTCTCTTCTAGATCTTCGAGTCCCTCTTCGTCGTCTGAGAAGATATCCGAATTCGGTGGGAATCTGTAGATGTCTTCCAAGGGTTTACTCTTCTCCTTTTGCGCTCTCTCAAGATTTTGCTTTTTGAGCATTAAGTGGAGAGGATAATCGACCACCTGCTCCTCTTCCGATCTGAACCCGTTTTCCCGATCAATAGCTAGATCTCTAAGCTGACTATTCGTGGGACGCGGCCTAGGATTAGAAGAGGAGGCCGAGGGAATCGAAGATCTTTTGGCAGCAACAGCATCCTTCTTCGGTCTGCCTCGGGTACCGGATTTTCGTTTCTTGGAGTCTTTGAATCGCTGGTAAGGATTGTCGTCCTCATCGTCCGTCATGACAACCTTTTCACGGCCACCGACCACTTTGGTGCGAACTTTCTGTTCGTCACGGTTCTTCTTCTTTCTGATATCTCCATCGCTGCTACTATCGTCAACATCGAGCTGCATCTGTTCAGCGTCCGACAAGGATTTTGCCCGAGCATGGCTCTCCGCTTGTCTTTTGCGCTTCTTCGCAGAGGCGGTGCCCGTTGATTCTCGTTGTTTCCTCGCAGAGGGGATTGGTTTTGGTACAACTTCTGGGGAAGATGATATGCGTATTATGGACGGATCTTTCTTAATCACTACTCTCTTGGTGGTTTTTTTGGCGGGTTTCCCTTTCGACTTGACGTTATCAAGATCGCTGGTCTCGTTACCGCTGTCGGCTTCCGCTGCATCATGATTGGCCTGTTCTTAATTCGCGATATGTTAGTACTTTCATTGGAGCACCGTAGATCGAGTTTGATCAAGCTATAACTTACTAGAAGATACCGCTAGAGATTTTGAGCCTCGTGCATTTGTACTCTTCAATGTCGCAGATGTAAACTTGAAATCAAGGTCTTCGTCCTCTGATTCCGTCTCTGAAGAGGTCGCAGGCACAAAGGTCTTTGAGAAGCGCGCACGAGACATTGCTCCCCTCGCAGCAAGTAAAAAGAGTGTCGAGCGATTCCTCTAGTCTTCGCGACAAAGCCCTATCTGAGAGAACTTGTGGTAGGCAATGGAATGGTTATACCGGAGCGGGGCGGTGGAGGTTGGAAGACGTGTCTGGTTCGCGACTCATCGCTCTTCGGTATCACGTGGTCTAATCAACCCTCGAAAGGGAATGTGTCTATGGACAAACACTATCCCTCACAGTTTCTCGTATCCTTCGTGACAACTCGCACGCTCGTTCCACTATTGCGACCAAAAATATCCGTATAAGAGCTCTCAGACGTATGGGAAAGTTAGTCATAACTTTTAATTTCCAATCCCAGCAGGTAAATGCACAAGCCGCAAAGTGTATCTAAGAATAGACTCATATTTTAAAACGTCATCCGTATCCAATCTTAATCTTAAAAAAAATCAAAATTAAATTTGTACGAAAAGAGGTATTAAAAAATATAAAAAGATATCGCTGCCAAGAGGGTTCGAACCTCTGCGGCCGAAGCCATAAGATATCTAGTAGGCCAATGATAGCCGTTCAAGTCTCACTCCTTAACCACTCGGACATAGCAGCAAACTTGTGTTTCAGGTCCAGAGAATGATTTATAACAGACTTATGTCCAGACGAGTAGATGGGGAGGGCTGTGCAACCTGCGAACCGCGATCGAAAATGAAGCTTTCCGAAGTAGCCGGAGAGAGGCCAAGCTTATGTAAATTAAGCATTCATTCTTCTCCTCGAGGTAATTAAACGTAGAGGCTGTGTCTTTGTTTGAGGCTTTACTAGTAAATGTGGACGCAGTATATACGGGTGAGTTTCTTTCCGAAAGAATGGCCTCGTGCTCATTATAATATTATTATTACTATTATTTATTATAGTCATGATGTATGTCTTTCATAAGAAGAAAAAAAAAGATATCATAGCCTTTCGGCAACCCCGTCCGGTACATGTCATAAAGTATCAGTGCCAGGCGTTTCCTCTTGATTCCGATTGATCCAAGACCATGGGCCACCAAGAACAAAATTTCTTTTTGATCCACGACGACAACTTGCATGGATTTTGTGCTACACAACCAGAAAGCGTATTTCCACTCCTTAGCTCGATCGATATTTTGAGGCATATCCGGACATGTTTCAGGGCAGACAAGTGCCGACCAACTCTAAGGTTTCCAAAAAGACGTCGCTCGTATGCTCCGCCTCGTTGAACCCCAGCCCTATGAGAACGGTTCTTGTCTCCCTTATATTTCTCATCGCCAGCAGGCTGGCCAGTTGCACAGCATATAGCTGTCCTTGCGCCTGTCTCTCCGGCGTGCTGGCGCCTAGCAGACACTTGGGTGTGAGATGAGTGAGCGGGAGCAATCCATCATCGTCCGTAGTTGATTTCGCTTCGAGAAAGGCTGGGTGCGCAGCATCGAGCGGGACCTGAAACCATTGTGCTAGGCGGCCTGACTGGGTTATCGTAATTATGATTTTGTCGGCGAAGCCAAGAACGGTGGCTGTCGTGGGGATAGAGTTTATGTCTTTAGTTTCATTTCGGGTGAAGATGGGATAAGGCGTACTATAAGGTTGGAGGGGTGCGCCTGGGACGGTTGACGCGTTCATGATCTCCTGGATCGTCGAAGCATTGATTGCTGACGACATCTTTTGTGACGTGAGGTTTCAATTAAGAATGAACGGGGAGAGAAGAGTGTTTCCGGGTCCGGGTTAGCTGCAGGATTGCGGGTGAAGGATGCAGTCTGCGTTCGTTATGCTGCTCTGTCGATAAGGCCAGTTTCATGAATTCATCTAGACATAACTATCGTTGCTGTTGTTCGACAATGGAACGCAACACATGCCCCCCCGCGGGTCCCGGATGAACATACCCCTCCGCCGCCAAACGCGGCCCCACTTTTGGAGAGTTCGTGGTTCGGACTCCGCGGTGTCCCTGACCGGGTCCGCTTAGCGACGTGATCCATTCGACAAAAAGCCCCTCTAGCCTCGAGCCCCTCGGACCCCGAAAACAAGCTTACAGAGCATGCATGCAGGCCTGGAAAGACAGGGAAGAAAAAAGAAGAAAACGAAGATGATCCTGCCTCGGTACGGTCTTGATTTGCGTCGTATCCAGCTCCTGATCATAATCAGAATGCGACAAAATAGTAGGACTATAATCTTATCACCGATTGAGAACTCGGCTTTAGCTTCTGTTATATGGTTTTTTTTTTTTTTTTTCCAAAAATTTATCAAAGGTCCAATAAAGTATATATGCAAGAGAAAAAGTATTAAAAAAAACTTTAAGCTACTCTTTGTTGAAGCGTGTCATCCTTAGTGCAGGGGCCATGCTAATCTTCTCTGTATCGCTGTTGGAGGAAGGAATGTTAGCCATCGGGTTCGAACTCGCGTTCACTTAGGAGGATGTGATAACCTACTTTCAAATTGACCATGTGACCCGAAGGTCAAACATTTGAAAGGTTGCTTGCGATATAAGAGGGCAACAACACTTTCCTGATTGAGGGATATTATTCTTTGTAAAACCTGCTCCCTTCATGTGTAGTATTGACATGCTGTGATTTAGAAACCAAGCTCTGGTGCAACATTGGCAATCCCAAGCAGCTCGAGTGACTTTGTCAGCGAACGTGGCCTCCAAGGTAAAAGCGCTCTTCATGCAAGAACGATGCATCGATGCTGATCGGCTCGGAGCTAGTTTGAGCTCCATGCCGGCCGAGAGAACAAGGAGGGTCACGTCCTTCTGATGTAAGCAAGCATCCAAGCAAGCAAGCGGCATGAGGGACAAGACAAAGCCACCCAATTTCGCCTACTGTCGGGACATATCCCCGCTGGAACTTCGCCATTCTACCAGGTTTGGCGAAAGGGAACTCGTCTGTCCTTCCTGATGGTTTTTAGACGATGGTCCGCACTGGATAATAGACTCAAGCTGTGATCCTGCAGATGGCGGCAGGTTCCGTGCCATGATCTCGGCCTTTTGAATTAATAATAAACAGGAACAAACGAGTTTCCACGAGTGAACGGTATGTCCATAGGCTTTCTTTGTTCGTCTCTGAGTCGTCAATATTCCGCGTGATATTAATGTTAATCCGGGTTTGTTGCTAGACTGTCCAACTGAGCTCGTAAATGTTTCTCTGTCCAAGCACCTCGAATCATAACAATTTCGGGGCATGATGCGAACTGCCCTGTTGATTTCCTGATACGAAAGGGCCGCACTGGCGACTAGAACAATGCTGGTCCCTGTTCAGGCCGGTACTTGTTTATTTGTAAGCCATGAGTGAGAGCATCATCTCAAAGAGAACGGACGAATTGAAGTCATCGTTTCCTCAAATCCTAACTGTTAGTCAAACTTGAACGGAGGCTTTTTAGGACCAAGCAGTAAGCCTCGAACTGAGTTGAGCCGGCGCATTCGAGATTTCCCATAAAACTTCATCATCCATCTGTCCTTTTCTTAATAATATCGTACGTAAGTGCTCCCCTTGATGTTTATATTGTTGAATTTGTGTGATATTGGCAAGGGCTTTTTTTCTCTTTTCTTTTTTCTCATCTTATTGTTTTCTTTTCCGAGTCCCATGGCTGTGACCTGGTGCGACCGAAATCGATAACTGGTACGTACGACTTCGTACATGCATCTCTTACACACGCACGCAAATACGCAAAATAAAAATCGCCGTCGTCTGTTGTTTACGAATTCAAAAGAGGATGTACCAATTCGACGAGTCAGTTGATATTTTATAACTTGCGTAACCGCAACTGCACGGCGCATTAATTTGGGATTTCGGGTCCGAAGAATCTACCTTGCCCTAATGGTTCGGGTCCGAGTTGAGTTTTCTTTCGGCGCAGAAAAAAGGCTCCGTGCATTCATTCCCAGCATATTATCGCGATAATCAGCTGGGCCTCGTGATGAACTGGGAACTATAACATTATGCTCGTGGCTCCGAAACGTATCGAACGTTCGGGGCCTGCGTGATTACATACGCAAGTCCAGCTCCAAGTCTTACGCACACCCCCTTTTGGAATACATTCTGCTGCCCCTCCGAGTTTTTGAGGCTGTCTCTCGTGCCCTGCCGCTGTGATTATGAGAATATTATTTTCCAGAAGAGGGAATGCTCTAAGGCCGGGTATCAAAACTAACAAAGCTTATCCTGTTGTGTGGTTTTTAGAAGAAAAACAGAATTAAACCCTCGCAGGAGACCGTGCTTAGTGTCGAGTCAAAACTTAACTCTCCTTCTTTTGCTGAGACACCAAAAAAGCCATTGAGCTCACATCGTCGGAAATCGTTAACCTCCAATAGCTCTCAGGATCGCCCCACAACCTGTTAGAGAAAAAGTGTTCTCTCGGGAATTGGATATCCTCAGATATTTTTTCGACTTCTTCTCTCTCTCACCCAGGTGCATGCTTATTCTTATTTCTTGCATCTGGAAAAACGCAACAACAAAAGGAACCAAGGAAAACAAGTAAAAAGACGTTGGAGGCTGTCCGTTTGCTCATTCGCTCCATTCTTTTCTCATAAGCGAAGGCAGCACAATCCGCATTGCGGTTTCGATCCTCTTTTCTCGGGGACGTTTATATTCTTCCAGATACAGGAAAGAAATCCCCTTTTCGATTGCATCCCACAGCCATATAAATATAGGCGACCCCGAATTCACGGCAGAGACTTGAGCACTCGTGGGATAAACACGGGTTCGGGTTCAAAAGTGCGAGCGTCGGGGATTTAGTCCACTCAAACTCCGATTATATCCTGCGCAGCCAGCCCAGCCCAACTGCAACTGGACGACTGGACAGACAAGGCCTCCTTCAATACACACACAGATGTGAATCATAGCCCATTCTCCCTGCTCGCAACCATTTTATTTTAGTGAACTTGGTAAGTGAATTCTGAAAATAACACTTCCTATAAAAAATTCTTCCCTTTCTTTTTCGCCTCAATCAAGACGGACCTTTATATGGCCCGATCCTGCCTTTTTATTTTTATTTCCTGTTATTTTCAACGTCGGCCCGACTTATTCAGCAACTCCCTTTTGGTTTTTCGGGGCTCGTCTTTGTTCCTTTTTGCCTTTTGTCTTAATCATCCTCACGGAGCTTTATTTTTTAACAACCTTTTTGATTCAAAATATGTGTATGCTTGTGTGCTGACATAATCTGTTCACATCTATTCAGGCCTGGGTCGCATCGTGGTAACAAAATATCCCCCCTGTGGATCCGCGATCTGCTTTTTGGACCCAGTGTCTAAGCTGAGAAATCCAAAGAAAATAAATTCTTCGGTCGGCCGTTAGGATATAATCCTCGCCGACCGACGTTGTTCATCACGGCTTCACTCGGGAACAACAGGAAGGGTTCTGGAGTGCTGCGCGCTCAGGACCCCCCGGGAACCCTCCGAGGCGGAGGACGGGCGTTCTTCATTAACAAGGACGCCAACGGAGATGATAATATGTATCTGTTCGGTGAAGACGACAGTCCGGTCGATCCGCGGATGCCATCGGCTGCTGGTGATCTCGTAAGCCCGAGTTCCGCGAGCACGTCGAGGTCCATGGCGAGTTTTTCAACTCCTTATAGACCCTCTAACGCTGGAGTCTCGCCAGAGGCGACTTCTCA